AATAGTTTCTCTAGTGTGAGAAACTGAAAGTGTAAATAAAGACTAAAAGGTATAATAGATAATGTGAAATAGGAAGAAAAGGGGCAAAGGGGAGGGGGAAGTGGGAGGGGTAGCGGAAAGGAAAAAAGGGAATGGAATTAATATGAGAAAAAGAAAAATGGAAACAAAGTCTTTGTAAATAGGGAGGGATGGAGGGGTTGAAGGGAGGTCAGGGGAAAGGGGAAAAAATAAGAACCAAGAGAGTATGTAAAGGTGCATATCTCCAATGATGAATGAACTGCATGATATCAAATTAACCAGGCTGTTGAATTCCAGTTTCCCAATCAGCAAGGTAATGATGTTCATGCTTTAGCATCTCTGCACTGATGATGTAACTATTTTAAACTTTTTGTATCTTTTTTTTTTTTTTTTTTGTAGTACAGGGGATCAAACTCGGGACCTTGCACTTGTGAGACAGGCCAGGCGGCGGCACCACTGAGCTAAGTCCCTGGCACCAAACTTTTTGTATCTTACTTTCCCTCAGAAGATGATATTGGACCAAAGATTGAGTTCTAAATTGTTTTCTAGCTCAAAACCTCAATCCATGATAAATGTCGAAATCTATGCAACCTTACCATGTTTAAACTCAGCAAAGGGAATTTGAATAAAGAAACAAACAAATAAACAGAAAGCTGACAGGTAATCATCACCTACAGGGAACAACTTGATATGTTTACCTTCATTAAACAAGTGAGATTATAATATTCTGTTGCAATATCAAATCACTTAAGATATTTAATATGCTCCATAGACAAAGTTTCTTAAAATGTATACCACAGATTATAACATCTTTGGAAAAGTTGTCCCTTAATTTTGAATGTATCTTTTAAATAGAAGCTAATTTTAGAAGTTTCCTATTTTGCTCCAGGGTTTGCAAACTAGGGACCATTACTTGTTTCAACAGATTGACTCCCCCAATGTTGTCCAGTGAAGTTATATGCATTACAGTGCATGCAATCAATGCTGTTGAGAATGACTGAACACTTCTTAAAATCCAAGAGAAATGATTTTTCAAAATTTCGGGGGAATTCTTTAGTTATCATGTTAGTTTATACTATTTAAATGATGACCTGACAGGAGAAAGTTCCTACATTGTGAAAAAACTAAAGGTATATACAAGTCATTAAAATTTTTCCTCTCATTTTGCTTCTTTGTTTCCTTGGAATCCTATCATTAGGACATCTAATGTTTTCCTATGTTAGTCAGACAGAAAATGTTTGAGATTTGTTCCAGTGAGCCATTTGTGTTTATACCTATATATATTTTCACTGTCAATTTCTGGTACTACTAAGTTATCAGAAAAATAGTGTGCAATGAATGAATTTTCTTGGCAAGTAAGATGGACACTTACAGAAACATTTGTGTGCTTTTGTTTGTGCTACTATAAGTCTTATGCCTGTGTTCCATGAAAAGTAGTGGCATAATTTGTGAAGCTGTTAATGTTAAAAATAAGGAGAAATATTCATATACTTGCAACTATGTACAATTCAAAATGCCACCAGCAAATAGGACAAATTGCATGACTTAAACCTAGGTACATTTTGCCCATCCAAGTAGCTGCCCAGAATCTAGAAATATAACTACCTTTTTACTGATTCTAGCCAGAGGACATGAATTGACAATCCTTTCACCTGCTGATCATGAATGGTAAAGTGAGCATTATTTAATAACTAACAAGATTCATCCAGAAAAACTTTACAAGTCTCCTTTAATACTCTAATAGTAAATGATACCTCAATTAAAGCAATACTGTTCTAATGAAAACAGGTAATTTAGGGTGTTTCTTGAAGTTAAAATTCAAGCTATCCAATTCAAGTACCACTGTAGTTTTGCAAAATATTTTGACACCATCCCTCAATTTCATTTTTACTTTTTCCAATAAGAAATTAAGAATTGCCTTCTAGCCGCTGACAAATTATTCCATGCTTGAAAATATATTTTTTATCTAAAAATAAGGTGAAATAAAATTATTATTCCCTACTTATCAATGAAAAATGTCCAAATTCATCCTGTTTTTTGTTCAACAGAATCTTTGTTTCCTTTCCCTCTTCTCTTGGATATTGGTACCATACATAAGAACTTTGGCTCAAAAATCACTGCAATCAAATAATAGTACTATTATGATGCTTTCATAGTATAATACTGTTCATTACAGAGATCAAATGTAAGGGTGTAGTGTAAGCAGCAGATGAAATAAAGAGGTTCTCTGACCATACTTCCTATCTCTGCATCCTGAGACTCCTGAAAGACAGGGTTTGTCTTATTCCTTTCGAATTGTGGAAAATGGTGGTTATCATCTTCATTGGAATTTCTCCTTTTCCTGTAAATAAATTGTAAAGACAGGAAATTTTATCGTGAAACATTTGATCTTTTGGACACTTGAATTGTAAGCCAGTAGCAGCGTATATATTTAAGACTTTGTCTAAGAAAATATGTTATTGTATCTTGCTCCAAGCAAGTTAAAATCACAAATTTGTTATCACTGGGCATAAAAAAGAAATATATAAAAGAGGAACTCAGAAAAAGTGAAGCTGTAAATTTCATTCTTGTCATTGTAAATCCATGTAAATACAGAAGTTTAAGATCTTTTCTAAGAAAACAGAAGTTACTGCTACTCTAATAAATTTAAAATTAGAAGCATATATCATTAGGCAGCACTAAGACTACAAATATAAACAGGAATTCTACCCATAGTCAAGCTATAAGTTTAATTTCCATAAATCAGCATCATAATATTAATTAATGCTTCATAATAAAAACATAAAGAGCTTTATGTTTAAGTTTTTAAAGTCTACCTAATTAAGTTCATTGACTCCATTCCCTGAAATTACAATTCCAGGTTATGTGATTTTTAACCCTTTCCACCAGATGATAACTCATAAGACATGTGTGGCTTCCAGTGTCTACTTGCTGGTAAAACCCTTTTGCAAGTTGTGCAGGGACACTGAAGAGTCATTTCTTATATGCTGTTAGGCCATTACTGTTGCTATACCAACAAGTATTATGACATAATAGTTACTTCACTTGACTGTCACCATGAGATTGTGGCTGACTACCTTGAAGCAGTATTTTCCAAAAAAATATTTTTATTTATTGTTAGGATAACATCCTCAGCCCCAAGTTCACTCTTAGCAAATAATCAGATTTTATTGTTTGACATTATAATTCTCACAGATGCCCTGTAACTTATCAGGCACTCTCTCCAGCCATCCACTTCTACATGTTTGGTACTTCTATGTACAGTTCATTATCCTCATTTTTATGGTTTTTTTCTCCAATCTTTCTTTCTGGAAGACTGACCACAAAGGAAATCTTGGAGATCATGCAGACTGGTAGATCAAACTCTCTGTTAAAATAAAACAATAAAATTCCAATACATAATAGGAAAAAGTTCTTCCCTGGATCTGCTTTCCTGTGCCAACTCTTAATTTGGCTTGACTTTTCTTCTCAAAATTGACGAAACAGCACATCCAGAGAAGCTAAGTGTCTTGACAGTAAAGTAAGTAAAGGTAGTAAAGCTAAGACTGAAAGAGAAATTCTCTTGAGTCCTGGCCCAATCCCCTCTGGGGGACCCTACAGAAAATTAGTGAAGAATTGGATACACAATCATATAATGTCTTTATAGCAAATAAATTGCCAGTATAAATGAATTCAGTTTAATTTTGTGTGGTGCTGTTTAAAAGGAATTTTTCTTTTCCATAGGAAATATATGAGTCTTTTTTGAGGTATGTCAAGCATACCAAAGCAACACCAGAAGTATTAGCTAGACTTGGGGAGAGAAAGAACACTACAATATGACCAGGCTTGATTCAAGCCCAATGTTTACTGGCAAACTTCTATGTGATACTGGATATTGAACCCAAGGCCTTTTCACTGACCTATGTCCCTAGCCCTTTACTTTTATTCATTTATGTATTTATTGAGACAGAGTCCCTCTAAGTTGTCATGACTGGGCTAAAACTTGTAGTCCTGTGTTCTTAATTCCAATAACATTTTAGTAATTGGGCTCTGAAGTTCTTAGTATATTCTATTTTTGTACTTCCCATGCCTCATTACAGGAACCAAATAAAAATTCAATACAGCAAGTAAAGCTGAAATTAACATTTAGTACTAGATTACATAACCTTGGGATGCTTTACAAAGTCCTAGTTCTATGAACTGACTATGATACAGGGCAGGGTTCTTGTGGAAAGTGAGCCAATGTTGACAGTCAACCAAAACATGGAGCAACAATAAAATATCTGCCACATCTATCAATGAAATTCTGTGTTATATTGTTACTGGGTTTTGGGGTGCTGGAGTCTCCTTTTGGATGTAGTTTTTAGAAACTACCAGACCAAAGAATTGGTCAAGACAAGCACAAATTGTAGCAAAGTTTTATTAAAGGTAGGAAAAGAAACAGGCTCTGCAGAGGGAGTTTGGACCAAGTAAATGTAGGAAAAGAAGTACATCCTACAGCATAAGGGTGGCCACCACGCAAGAAAGAACAGAGTGGCAAAAATTTAATGTGGACTGTCCTTTTTGTATTGCCCCAGGCTAACATCATGTCTAGGTCATCAGTCTTAGTTACTTTTCTCATTGCTGAGACAAAATACCCGACCCCAATGTTAAAGGAGGAAAAGTTTGTTTTGGCTCACAGTTTGTAGAAGTTTCAGTACATAATTAGCTAGATCCAAGGCAGGGTGGCATGGCAGAGGGGCATCATAGAGGAGAAATAGTCCATGGCAGGGCAGGGCAGGCAGAAGGCAACAAAGCAGCAAAATAGCAAAACAGCAACAATAGCAAGCAACAGAAGTAGCCCTCCTTTTACTTATATTCCATCCAGGATATAAGCCCTTAGGGGGGTAGCACTCACACCATGATGGGGGACCCTTAATCCCAGGATCACACACTTAGTCCTAGCATCACAGATGCTAGATCCAGCCACCTCCAAAACTTCCCACCCCCAGGACCCTATGAGGTTTTGGGGGACATTTAGATACAAGCCATAACATTCTGGCTTGATCCCCCCAAAGACTCATGCAAATCCCCTTATGCAAAATGCATTTAGTCCATCTCTAAGAGTTGCCAAAATTGTAAGAGTCAGTGTCTAAAGCCTCTTCCAAGATTTAAGGCAAGTTCTTAGACACAAGACCCTGTGCAAATGAAAAGAAAGTTAAACACTCCCAACATACAATGGCAAAAGATGGACATTTCCATTCCAAAATGTACAAATAGGGGGATAGAAAGAAACAGCACCAAAGCAAGTCTAAAATCCAGCAAGGCAAACATTAAGTCATGAGGTTCCATGTTCAGCATTCAAGGTTCTCTGTGGCAAGTTGTGGACTCCAAAGGCCTTGGGTGGCTCCAACCCTACAGCATTTCCTGTGGCTGTAACTTCCACAGCTTCTCTCTTGGGGCAGCTCTTCTCCCTTTTGGCAATTTTGCCCAGACAATCCACATTCCTGGCTTCTCCAAACTGTTTCTGAAGTCTCCACAGCATTTTTGGATTCACATTCACAGCTTCACCCTATCAGGGCAAGTTGCCTGGCCTTCCAGGCCTTCTCCTGAAATCTGGGTGGAAGCTTTCCTGACCTCACAACTCTTGAATTTTGCTTGCACCTAAAACTAGTACCATATGGATGATGCCAAGGTGTTTTGCTAGCTGGAGCAGTATACAGGCTTCCTTCTCAGTTGGCTGGAGGGATTGAGTGCCTGGATTGCTGAGCACTATGAAACCAATCTCAAGAAAAATTCTCTAGGCCAGTGCCATTCTGGAACATGGTGCACTGAGGCTCTCTTCTTAAAGCAAAGCCTTTTATCTTTGCAATTTCCAGCAATGGCTGGACTTTTGCCATCTTTTCTATTGTCCTCTTCTAAAAAGCTTTGCTTTTTATTCCTAAGCTTTTCAACAACCAGGTTTTCCTTTGTTCTACTTTATAACTACAGAACATTACTAGAGCTTCCTTTATGGCCAAACTCAAAACTTTTAAAATCATCTTGCTGGGCCATTTCTTCTTGATTTTCAACATGGTTCTGGCTAAAATTCCACAACAGTATCCATGCCACTGCCTCAACATTAGACTGCCTTGAAATTTCTTCCACCAGATCAATTAGTCCCCACACTTAATCTCAGTTTCCTTAAAAGTCTCTGGAGAAGAGCAAAATGCAGACAAATTTTCTGTCAAAGCATAATACACATGGTCTGGAGTCCAACAGCCAATGCAGTCCTTATTCCTAACTGAAAATTACCAAGCATGGTCTTTACTGTCTGCATTTCTATCAGCATTCTTGTCTTCTGAGCTCTGACAAGACTCACTCACCAAGTTCAGCTTACAGAATTGCAGGGCTGCTTCTTCAGCCAGCAATTCCAAATATTTCCAAATTCTTTCCACAAGCCAGTTCCAAAGGCGTCTGAACCACATGTCAGGTAATAACACAGCAATGACTCCACTTCTCTGGGACCTAAATCTGTCTAAGTTATTTTTTTGTTGCTGGAACAAAATACCCAATTCCCACAAGTTGAAGGAGGAAAGGTTTATTTTAGCTCACAATTTGTAGAGATTTCAGTCCATAGTCAGCTGTTTCAAAATCAAGCCACATGGCAGAGGGATATCCCACAAGGAGAAAGTCAATGGCAGGGCAGCAGGAAGCAGCTCCCAGTTAGCATTCCTTTCCCTTTTATCCCTTCCAGGCTATAAACCTATTGGATTGTGCCAACCACACTCAGGGTGGGCCTTCCTACTATCCATATCCAGAACTATGCTAAAACAATTTAGTTATCACACACTTTTAATCCATGTTCACATATCCTAGATCCAGCCACCTCTGAAATGCCCTACCTATGAGCTCATGAGGCTCTGGGGTAACATCTAGATAAAGCCATAACACTGCTCTAATAAGAAGAAGTAAATCTAGACATAATGAGGCCAGTGAAAATGTTGGTTCAAGTGAGAGATGAGGCTTGAATTTGGTCAGTGTCCTTAGGAATAGAGAGAAGTAGCAAATTTGAGAGATGGAGAAATAAAGAGGAGTTGGTAATAGATTGCATATAGCAGCTGAGACAAAGTTAGTAGTCTAAGAAAATAAGTTTCTGGCTTGAGAATAGAATAAATGAGAGTGTTATTCCTCAATAGGGTAACCTGAGAGAATGTTTAATGTTAAGAGAGGTAGGAAAATATGACCTCTGATACATGCTTTCCCTTCATTCAATTCAGAAAGCTTGGAACCTTTCCAGGATATTAGATTCTGGCATTAGAGAGATCTGGGTTAAAATCTCAGCTCCTCCATCTTGAACAAAAAAATTCTTAACATCATAGAGTTTCAGTTTCTTGGCCATTAAGATAAGAGTTATATCAGGTAGCTATTGTATATATTAAATAATAAAGCACTCCAAACAGTGTCAGAAACAAAGTAGATATTCCTGAGCGTATATTTTTCTTTCAAAGATCTCTGTAATTATATGAGTGACCACATAAAGTTTAGTCAGGATTTTTGAGCCATTGAAATATTACATGCACATACAATATTTAAGGTAGTAGGCCTAGTCCCTACTGCTAAGAAACAGTTACTAATAGAAGTAAATTAGTATTTGAGCCTCTACTATGTGTTAGATGATAGTCTAGCTAGGTACTTTTATACATACTATAAATAATTTGATCTTATTTCCCAATTATTTCCATTATTTTATTTCTTTCATCAGAGTTGTTTAATTTCACATAGAAAACCTGTACATGTGGTTTTATATTTATGCTTATGTATTTTTCAAACTATAACAAGTATATTGTGCTTTCAATTTTGGCTTCCACATGTCTGTATCTCAAAATACAGTTAATTAATTTTTAACATTAATTATGTTTATTGATACAATTAGATATACATAATGATCACATTGATCACATGGAATTTGTACGTGTACATGATATGTCTTGATATACCTTGATAT